TTTATGTGTATGCTCTCACTTCTCAAGACAACCCTATGAAGTAGGCACTATTGGAAACACTACTTTTCAAAGAACAGTGAGGTTCAGAGAGATTAAATAACCATTTGAGGTTGTAGACCTACTATCTGGCAGAGCCAGGGTTCAGGCTCAGATCTACCTGTCTCAAGAATCCCAGCTCTTGATCACTAAGGTTATTGTCAGTGCCAACAGTGGCTTGGGGTGGGAGGAACTAAGTCTCTGTCAGCCCTTATCCCCCTCAACATCTTTGCAGATCATCTTGAGAAACATGAACATTTACATTAGAAGCAGTGTACTTGCTATACAACTACGTAGGTTCAAGACATGTTTCAGAGGCTCCCTTCCTGCTGACTTCCCCCCTAAGCTGTCTTATATAGACTTTCTGGAGTTGCCTCTTACTAAGAAATAATCTCAAGTGATGATAGCATAGGAATAATCATAAAATATTTCCAAACTACATCACAAACCTTGGTTATTAGTAGCAAAAATAACTTGCAACACAAATGACAGTGCATTTGCTGAGAATGGCTGCCTGCCTAGCAGCCTATCATTTTCCACAGCTTTTTCTGTAAGGGGGATTTTTGTTAGAGAGCCACTCTCCTGCAGAATTATAGTAATTTTATTCCATATCCCATATACATATTAAACATCCACCATACTCTAACCACGTGTCAATGCTGATTTAAAGTTCAGCAGCAGCTTTTTGTCTCCATTTCTCAGGGTCTCCCGTACAGTCATTCACAGCTCACCCTTCTGGTCGCCCTGTGGATTCTTCCTCACCCCTGAAAATGATCACATTCCCTGAGAGATACCTCCCCACCCCAGCCCTCTCCCGGGTTTACTACATCCTGGGAAGGAAAACAGCACAGAGCTTGCCTCTGCTCAAGATTAAAGGTGGCTGATGCCAGGACTTCTAAAAGAAATGAGCTTCTTTGTTTACTTGCCATTTTTTAAATTGTCTCATTAGCCTAGCCGAGTGGCTAAACGTTTTGACCCTAACATTAGTGGCAGATGATTGGTAGTGGAAGGGTTTGTGTTCTGATTTTAATTCTGTTAGTCTCCTCTTGGGTTAAGTGGTTGGATAAGCATGCCTCATGTAATGGAACACCTTTCTAAGCCTGGCCTTGGGGACAAGAGTCAACTCTTTTTTTTACTAACTATATTAAAGCAGGGTTATTTGTACACTTTCATTAAGTCACATACATCTAAACCCACGTCATAAGCAGTTTCAGCAGGTTCCGACATGTTTGCTTAGCGCCTCTCTCCTAGAGGACCCATTGCACTTTACCAAGCACATGAACTCATTTGCTCATCCTGACACCTCTACCGTGATGGGCAGCCTTGGTGCGTGCTTTCAGAGAAAACAAAGATTGGAGAAGTACTGTGTCTTTCACACTATTTTACACTAAGAGGAAGGCAGAACAAGACCATAATTGATTCATACTCCCCAAAAGCTCAAACCTGAAGGGCATCATGGCAGTTTTTGATGCCACAATGCCAGGATATAGGAGGGAGGTGGCTTTGTAGAAAAAAACGAAAATGAGCTCTGGACTGAATTGGTTGTTGTTAGGTCCAAATGCAGGCCTGAACTCCTGGCCAAGTCACTCCATTTCTCTGAGCCTAGATTTTCTTCTCTGTCACATGAGGAATGCATATCTTGTTTCCCAAAGTTTCTATGAAGCAAAATATTCTGTGCCCTGTCAACCAGCAAGGCTTGATTTTCCATCAGCATGAAGTAGCACATGCATTTGCACTTAGTGGGTTCTGAGCAGCAGCTCTTAGCTCAGGGTGCCAAGCCTACCCTCTGCCCCTCTCACTCATTCCCCCACCCCGACCCCGAGACTCTTCCAGAAAGCCCCATTGCCTATCTAGAACACACACTCCCTCCGCTCTCCAGTGCAGAAAGGATTTGATTCCAAATCAGAGGTTTTTAATGTGGGTTTGCAAAGGTCATCAGGGACAAATGGAGATGATGTTCCTGCTGTAACGTTTCCAGGAGTGGGCCAGCAGCTCTCACCAGGCGGCTGGGTAATCTGTTGTAGCCTGACAGTTGGAAATTCCTTGGGGATGGTATTCACTGTGCTCTGCTAGTTTGCAAACTAATGAGACACGTGGTGCAGCCAGTGTTCCCTTCAGCTGGATGGGGCAGAGAATTTAGAGGACATGCAGGTTTCTGTTCAGAAAGCTGCCCTGTCTCAGCAAGTCTTGCAGGAAAAAAATCACCGAAAATGGTACAAATGTGCAGAATGGTAGGAGGAAAAAAAAAAAGATGAGGTGGATTTTCTAGTCTTTCCCAAACCTTCTCTTCAGCTACGTCCTCACATGGGCACCATTTACAGATATCTTTCTGTGCCCAGCTTAGCATAAAGTGATCAGTGTCTTGAAAACCTGTGTAGCTTTGCAACTTTTCACATGATCATTATATTGGCCAGCAAATGTCAGACTAGGGTTTTGTAAAGTGTGATTTAATGAGTCACCTGCCCCAAAATTACATGATAAAAATGTAGTGTCCTGGGCCCCATTCCAGACCTACTGAATGAGAATTCCTGGAAGTGTGGCATCATAATCTGCTTTGAACAGATGAGTATGGTCCTTATGTACACTGAGGTTGAAGGAACTCTGTTTCAGGATCTCACCTTTACAATTAAATCACTTTTATTTCTTCTAGTGGATTTTTTAACATTTCAGACAAACAGCAATGTGATGCATACATGATGTTTCATTTGGTGGTCAGAGGAGGTCTCCAGAACAAATGCTAGAGGCAGGCTAGAGCAATCAGTGCATATGTGTACACACACACACGCGCACACACACACACATGCACACAATGTTCAGTCTCACGGACGTCAGCTGTTTCCTGCAGCACAGCAGGGCTAAACAAGAAAAGGAAGGGAAACCCAGTTCAGACAAGTAATTCCCCAGTTCTCTCAACCGCCTTGCCTGGGAAGATTCATAAGGAGTGATGCAGCGCCACCTTCCGTCCCTTTTGTACATCGCAGGCACCTGTCTGATGGAGCCACATCTGCCAGTTTGTTCACCTCTGGGCTTAGTGCAGCCAGCCAGCTGGGGTCCTTCAAGGGCTGGAGGTTCATTTCCATCAGCGCGAAGTAGCACATGCATTTGCACTTAGTGGGTTCTGAGCAGCAGCTCTTAGCTCAGGGTTCATTTCCGTGACTCCATTAGGGCAGACCGCACCCTCTGTGCAGAAAAGAGATGCTTAAAAGACAGGCTTTTAGGTAGCAGGAACTAGGTATATTTAATGCGTAAAAAGTAAATGAATACAAGAGGATGTGGGAATCTGAAAGATAAATTCCACACATTTGTATGAATGTATAAACATGCAAGAATGAACTCATACAAACACACAAATACATATTTCAGGGGTTACAAAGCCAACATGCTAGGTGTCCTGAATACCTCTTAGATCTCGTTGGCTCCCGCTCTTTCCCTCCATCTCTCCCCTGCAGCTGTTTCTTGCTATTGTTCAAGCATGGAGAGCCACCTCCTCCCCTCTTGGCGCTTGCTCTGCCCTCACCCTGGAGCATCCCAAATAGATATTTGGTGCACTGCCTCACTTTATTCAGGTCGCTGCTCAAGTGTTACTTCTTCTGAGAGACTTTCCTTGACCACCCTATCAAAAATAGCACTCTCTCACCTACCCCAACTTTATGTGTTCCATGTCTGCCTCCTTCAATAACACATGAGCTCCACCAAGCGCCAGGTGTCCCCAGCACCTAGAATAAGGCCCGACACATAGTAGCACTCAAAAACTATTGAATGAATGAATGACCATATTGCACTAACAAGGTTCAATATTTGTCATTAACAGGACAGAGGTATCATCCTTAGTTTGATTTTCTGACTTTAAAAACATTATTAAATGCTTGTTTGTGAGTGAGACCTTTTCTGAATGGAACTAGCATGTCTAGCAGAGCTTCCCTAGTCCTTGCATTCTAACTGGCTCGTTGAAGTCAGATCAGGGAGTCAGGAGGAGTGTCACAGAGGAGGAGACGCCGGGACTGAGTCTTGAAAATGACAGGTGCCATAAGAAAGGTGGATAAGCCAAGGTCCCAGGGTGGGACAAGGCATGGCCTGCTGGAGTGTGATGGGGAGATGGCCAGAGCCGTGGAAGAAATGAGAGCTGGTGTAAAGTGCATTTCCCAATGGCGGGAACATATTTAAGTAATTAGTAAGTAGCGACTCTTAATAGCTGTTTTGCTCAAATGGGAAAGGTCTCTTGGAGCATTTGCCAGCCGGCCAGAGCATGGGCTCTCAAATCAGACTGCTTTGGTTCACACCCTGGAATTGATGTCTCCTAGCTGTGTAACCTTGGGAAAGTCACCTTCCTCTGTCTGTTCCTCTCTAAATGGGGGTGATAGCAGTGTCTACTTCATAAGGTTGTTGTGAGGATTAGATGAGAATAAAAAGAGCCACTAGCAGAATATGTGGTACGTAGTCATCGCTAAGTAAATGCTGCCATTTTATTATTTCAGTCAACCATTCTGATGTAAGATCAACTACTTCTTTTCTTTTGTTTTAATTTTAATTTTTATTTTTTTTCTGGGAATGATTCATCCTGAGCTAACATCTGTTACAATCTTCCTCTTTTTTTTTTTTTTCTCTCCAAAACCCCAGTACTTAGTTGTATATTCTAGTTGTAAGTCATTCTAGTTCTTCTATGTGAGCCGTCACAGCATGGCTACTGACAGACAAGTGGTATGGTTCCATGCCCGGGAACAGAACCTGGACCGCCAAAGCTGAGTGTGCCGAACTTTAACCACTAGGCCATCAGGGCTGGCTCTCACCTACTTCTTATTATATGGCTTATAAGCCAGAAAGTTAATTCTATTCTACATGCCGGTCACGACGCCTCTAATTCTATAAAGAGAGAGAAGCATGGCAAAAGCAGAAACAGAAATTTTATCATTGTTAGTTTACTTACCCCGTGAATGTTTGAGTATCTGCTATGTCTCAGGAACTGTGCTAGTCTTTATACGTGATATACATGAAGGGTTATTCCCCTCAAGAAGTTAGCAGCCTGTGTTTTCTGTCTCACAAACTTTAGATCAATATGTGGTAGTTATCATTATTATTATAATTAGGTAATGGGAATTTTAATTTTGAGCAAACGAGTAGCACGATCAACTTGGCTGTCTAGAAAAATCACTCACAATGATTTGGAAGGTGAGAAGGTACATAGACATCGCTTACATTGTATGAATGGATAATGTATAAATTTGCAAGAATGAACATATGCAAACACACACATACATATTTCAGGGCCTACAAAGCTGACATGCTAGGTGTCAGGTCATGTCTAACTACCTCTTAGATCTCATTGGCTTCCACTTTTTCCCTCCATCTCCCTGCTGCAGCCATTTGGGCTTTCTTGCTATTCCTCAAACCTGGAGAGCCACCTTCTCCTCAAAGCCTTTGCACTGCTCTACCCTCACCCTGGATCACATATTTTATTCCAGGTGCCGGGGATACCTGGCACTTGGTGCACCTTATGTATTATTGAGGGAGGCAGGCTTGAACACAAAGCAGGCAGGTGGATTAGAGTGGGGAAAGGTTAGAGGCAGGAAAATCTGTAGGAGTTGTAACGGTCCAGATGGGAGGGTGCTTAGTGTATGAACCGGGGCAGGATGGGGGAGGCTAAGAATCTCTAACTGAGAGAGATTTATGAAACCCAATCAATGGTTTCCTAAATGGATATGGGCAGCAAGAAATAAGGAATCTAGATTGACTGTCTGCTTCTGGGTTGGTCCCCTAGATAAACATGGGTTTTATTTATCGAGATTATGGAGACTACAGAATGGCGGAAAGAGTGTTTCTTAGGAACATTTGGCTGCTAATTGAGTCTGGAGTCAAGAAGGTGGTCTTGGAGGCCTAAGCGTGTAGTTTATAGCTGAAGGTCAAGGTATGGATGATATTACTCAGCAGAAGAACAAATTGAGGGAGAAAAAGGCCAAAGACAGTACTCTAGGAAACACACTTAAAGGTCACGCAGAAGAGGCAATGATCAAACCTGGTGGAAAGGCCTGAGGGTACCACTTTCTTCTCCACCTCATGGAATAATGGTGAGGATGATAGATTTTTGTCATGTTCACCTCAGAGGAAACTACATTTTTCCCAGAACAGTGACTCAAAGAGAAGATCAGGTGTCACAGGAAAGGTCCTGGTAGTTTTCTATGAAAAGGATATTCATATCTTTGTGGGTTTGCACATCTGATTAAGGTTTCTGGTCTAATAGGCCTCCATAGGGTGAATCGTCCTCCTTTATAGTTGAGTACATCCTGAGAACCACAGAGCTCTCTCTACCTACTCATGCATGCCCTTGTCCCAGACCAGCTTAATGCAACCCTAAACACAGTTTGTTCCATGCTTACCTAACCAGGCCGTACCTAACCTACACTCGCACACAGATACACTCTCACACACACACACACACACATTTATACACACTCACTTAGATCTTTAAGATCCAATAAAGAGTAAAGAATAATTATGTCTGGAGTGGTTTGGGGATTTGTATAATAACCACCCCCCCCCAACCCCACCACTGCCCAACATGGATTCTATGGGGTTTTCAAAACCCTGGTTCAGCACCAAGTATACAACCTCTTGGAAAGACTTTGCATGTCCCTGTGAAATCTCATATTTGCCTCTTCATTTAAGGCCTTCATAAATTACTTATAAATTTTTAAACTTTTGCACATAAATAACTCAGATTTTAGGCCTAGAAGAAAGATTGGTAAATGGAAAGTGTTGAGACGCAATTGTTCACAATATATCTTTTTCTCCAAAGTAGAGAAAGCACCTGGGCATTTCCCTCAGGGACTATGACCATGATGTTTTGAAGGGTTCCAGAAGGAATATGTGTTCTCTTCAGAGCAGGGAAGGTGAAGCAGAGGAAGCTCTTCCCTCCCTATGCCTCCTCTTTTCTCTTGTGCCTCAGGTCCCCTGGAGCATGTACACCTGTCTCTTCCCTTTGTCACCACAAAGAACAAAGAGGTCAACGCAACTGCAGTGCTGTGGCCCAGCCAAGTGGGCACCCTCACTTACGTGTGGTGGTACGGAAACAACACGGAGGTGGGTCGGCCTACTGCACGGGGTCTAGTGGCAGCTCACCTCAGACTGGCTGAAGGCAAAGGAATGAAAAAGCTTATGTAACTCAAGAGTCTAGGGGTAGTCCTGGCTTCAGGGACAGCAGGCTTCTAGTGCTCCAATAATCTCATCAGTATGTTCTCTTTGTCTCCCTCTGTCTTACTCTCTCTCTTACCCCTTCACCTCCTCCCTCTCACGTCTCCCTTCCTCTGTGTGAGTGTCCCTCTCCAGTTGGACTTTCCTTCACAGCAAGCCTTAGCAGCAGCCCCAGCTTTATACTCTCACAGCTTAGCAGGGAAAAACTGACTTTCCCAAAAGGTCTAACAGAAGTCTCAGCATGGAATATTTTTGACCAGGCCTTAATCACAGTGCTGGGGGTGGAAAGGGGTGTTGAAGTCAGCCTGCTTAGAAACCACATAGACCAAGAAAAGGGAGGGAATGGTCCCTAAAAGGAAAAGAGGCCAGTGGCTACCAGACAGGCAGAAGCAACAGATGCCTGTTACAGCCCAGCCCCAAATGGCCTCCTCACCCTGAATCAGACATGGCCACTTCTTTAGCTCAACTTTACCCTTTCTGTTTTCCCAAAACATTGCCTATGATCAAAAGTCAGCAGCAATTTTAAAACCAGCAGAGACCTTAAACCTCATTTCCTGTAAGTCCTTCATTTTACAGATGAAAAAAGTGAGGATGATGCAGATGAAGTGGCTGCTCCAATCTCATTCCACTGCTTCTGGCAGAGGTCAGATCCAAGACGTTCTCAAGCCTACAGGAGTTTTTCTTCCCTTCACACCAGGCTGCATGCTCTCTTTCTGTTTTGAACTCACTCCATTCTTGGAAATTAAAATGTGCTTCCAAATGTCAGTTAAGGCTGTAGGACTAAGGCCCCGAAGCATCTCTCCCCAAAGGGCACTGGAACGAATGCTCTGGACTGGAAATCTTCATCTTCTAGCAGAGTTGCTTTCGCTTAGTGATATTGCTCTTCAAGTGCAATGCATCTTATTTTAATACAAACCGTTTGCTACTCCAGAGCTGAATTTTGGCGTTAACTGGAGACGTAATTTTGCATAGGCGCAGGGAGGAAACCTCTCTTGACCCCAGACCTGCTGCACGTCTGACAGAGGAAGGAATCTCTCACCTCTACTATAACCCTGACATAGCTGACATAACTCAGTGGAAAAGAAACTCATTTTTAGTTTTTCTGAAACTATGTATAAATTCGGCCCAAATTGGGCCCACTATCCACAGTGGAGGAGGAGAAATCTATGTTACTTGCCTGAAAACTAGTACTAGAAGGTGAAAGTATTAAACAACTTTCTTCTGTGGCTCCTATGTTTTTACCTTTTAGCAGAAAACCCAATTCACAACAGATTATATTGAGTAGACTTCTTATGCTAGGCTGTAGTCTTCCCTCTGCCTCCTCTGCCTCCTCTTACAGGGAGTTAAATGAATTTTGATTTTGAAATTAATTAAGAAAAAGTAGAAAAGAAATGTTTGTGGGGAGTGAGTCGAGGGAGGTCAGTAGGCTAATAATCCTTTCCTCCAGGACCTGGCCTGGCCTCCTGTTGTATTATAGCCACCACTCCAAATCTTTTTTTTTTTTTGAGTTCTCAAACCACTATCCAATTAGTACTTGTTTTCATAGCTGCTACTTCTAGGAAACTGCTGATAGGGCTTCTTGGAGGAAGCCAAGCCACACAAGGCCACTCCTATCTAACTTGCGTAGTTTTGGTGTCCATGGTTGCTGTGTTCCATTGTAATTTTATATAAATATATACACCCTGGAGATAAACAACTGGCAGCTTATAGATTTTCAATGACTACTGCTTAAGTCTAGATTAATATGAGCTCCCTGATTTGGTCTGATTGGAGTGTTTCCTTGGATTAAGGGATCCGCTTGATATGAGTAGATTATCAATAAAGACAGACATATACCCCACCAGCAATCTCCCAGCCCTGAATCAGGATGATACCAGAAGAGAGGTGTCAAATTCACGAGGAATGAGCAGAATCCTTGGAGCAATGGCTCTAATAGCTCCTTTCTGGCCTGGACTAGAGATGATGGGAGGTGTAGAGGGAGTCAGTCGCACTGCGGTACACCGGAAAGAGCCTCTGCTGATTTAAGTAGCTTGTTGGCGGCTCAGAGCTAGAGGCTGTCTCATCTGTAACTGAACAGCTTTCCCCTCACTCTGTGCCCTCATTTATTTTAGCCCCTGATCACCTTGGAGGGAAGCATATCATTCAAGTTTACTTCTGAAGGAATGAACACCATCACAGTGCAGGTCTCAGCTGGGAATGCCATCCTACAAGACACGAAGACCATCGCAGTGTATGGTGAGTGCTCCGTCTTCACTGATCGATCACTGCCCTCGTGCTCAGACGAGGTTGTTTGGTACCATGGTGCTGGAGGCCACTGCAGCATCTGACCTCTACCCAGAGAACAGAGCGTAGTAGTGAGAAAGAGCTGAGTCAAGTCTGGTCTCCTTTGGGGAAGATGTGGTTCATCAGCAAAATAGTGGTCCCAAGACCCCAAGAGGGTTTATTGTTTTGTTTTCTTAAAGTGGCTCTGGTACACATAGAGTGACTATGTGCTCACATACCTTAGGTAGGGTAGAGGGAGTTTCATTATGTGTAAGGCTAATTCATTCCATTTGGTATTTTGGTGGTGTTCGAATAAATAAAACCCATTTTGAAAGAAAACGGTTAATATTGAGGCTTTTTTTAAAGTTAAACTTTAACAGTTCTGATTATTAAGAGGAATCTGCAAATACTAAATACTCTGAAAACCTCTTCCATAAATATGTATCATTAAGAAAAAACTCTGCTAGATTAAAAGTGACGGAAGGGTCATAACCAGCAGATGTCATGCATCCTCATTGACTGGATATTGGTGTGAACAAACAGCTGTACAGAACAATCTGGTAATCAATTAGGGAAGGTGAATATAGTCAGAGTATTACATGGAATGGAAATTTACTGAAATGGAAAGGTAGTATCATTGATTGGAAATGGGAAATTAAAAAAACGGTTTATACAAATTGATCTCCCTTTGGTAATTTTTTTCTGCATAGAAAGATAGTCAGATGGATATAAACCAAGTGTTATTAGTGGATGGTAAAAATGTGAACTTTTTGGGCCGGCCCCGTGGCTTAGCGGTTGGGTGCGTGCGCTTCGCTGCTGGCAGCCCGGGTTTGGATCCCGGGCGTGCACCGACGCACCGCTTCTCTGGCCATGCTGAGGCCGCGTCCCACGTACAGCAACTAGAAGGATGTGCATCTATGAAATACAACTATCTACTGGGGCTTTGGGGGGAAAAAAATAAATAAATAAAATCTTTAAAAAAAAAATGTGAACTTTTATTGTTAAAATGAAAGTGGTATGGATGCATCATGGAAAATGTAAAAAGCAAGACTTTAAAAGTAGATAGATACGGAAAGTAAATGCTGTGCAGAGAGAGACCACTAGGGAGGGATGAAAGGAGGGAAGGTGAGAGAAATGGAGGGAGGGAGGGTGAGACAGAGGTTGAGAGAGAGAGGGAGACTAGCTAGTGGTCCAAATAATATCAATTGCCCCAGTTCCAGAATTAATTGCTTCTGATGCAGGTTCCGTTTTTATTTCTCATCTTGCCGACTTGACCTTCAAATTCAGAAAGTAATTTGTAAGCAACTTTGAACGTGTCTGAGGACACTATTCCTCGCATGGCTGGGTGTTAGATTTCATAATGTTTCCTCCCTCCCCCCTCCTGAAGAGGCTTGATAAGCCCAAATAGTAAGTGAAAGTAAACCAGGGCTGCGGTTTTCCTAACAAGGTCCCATCAGTGAGGCGACCTCTCAGCCAGGTGGCCAAAATGGAGGAGGGCTTTTGCTTCTCTTTCCTTCTCCATCTCCTTTCTTTGCTCTGGGGATGCATTTAATCCTCATAACAACCCTAGGATAGGGTAGGTGATGTCATTACTCTCATTTTTTCAGAGAGGTAAATAACTTGCTCCAGCTAGTAAGTAGTGGAGCTGGGCTTCCAACCCAGCCCATCTAGACCCAGGGCCCATGCTCTGAAATTACTCTTCATAACTGGCTCTCATGTCTTTTCCATCTGATGCTCTCTTTCCTCTCTTTCCCTCCTGGATATCATAGGTGTCACTCATGGGCACTGTCCCATTAGTCCAACAGATGTCCTCTTGGTTAAGCACATCAGCGACCTCATTAGAACCACAGAGAGAACTTTAAACCTAGAAAGTCTTTGGGCTTATCTGGTCCAACCCATCTTTTTACAGATAGGAAATTGTGGCCCAGAAATGGGAAATTACTGGCTTAAAGTCATTCTGCAGTTCAGTGAGAGATCCAATAACAATAATGGTGATGCAGTGGTAGTAATTAACGTTGATGAAGCCCTTACTAGTATCTGTTCTATGCACTTGATATAGATGATCTGTTTAATTGAATTCTCTGAACAGACTTATGAGAAATATGCTATAAATTACCCCTGTTTTAGAAATGAGAAAGTATGATATAAGTATCATAAACAGATCTTGAGAATTCTAAATCCAGAGGGAATGTTCTAACCACCTTCCACTCCCTTGCTATGCTTAATTCTTCCTCTTCCTAAAATCTCTGTAAAGGCATCATCCAAGAGTGAGTCACTCTCCATCAAATGGGTTATCTTCATTAAAAATGATTTCTCCATTAAAAGCTTGAGGAGGGGAAGTCATCTCCTCCCCCCCCCCAGCGAAGTTCCTGATCAATCAAGCACCCTTAATTGGTCTTCAGTCAGATGGTTTATCCGAGGTTCAAATGTATGACTAGAAAATTCTAATGACAGATGTGACCCATTAAAGGCAAATTGCTTCACAGGAGGTTAAACAGGCAAGATTGAACTCAACTGAAACAACAGGCAGGAATATTTTTGAACTCTGGGATAAGCTAGTGGAAAAGTACTGGAGGACTTTTAGAGTGAGGGATTGTCAATGTGATTAGGCCATCTGTGTTTGCTAATCGGTGCTCATGGAAGTCAGGTTCCTACTTTTCTAGAGACAGGGGTCCTATCTTTCTCGATCATTCTGTTTCAAAGAGATGGCTCCCAGGTCCTTGAGAAAGGCATTCCTGGGTTGTAGAAGATTTACATCTCAAAGGTGCAGAGAAAAAATTTACAATGCAAGTTTTCTAAAGTAAACACTCCAAAAAAAAGGGAGATCGGGGCCTGCAGTCAGGAAGAAACCTGTATAAAGTTTAGTCAAGCTGAGGGGAACATGAAGACCATCGCTGGTAGACAGAATGAGGCATCATATTTGGAAAGTTGACAGAGGAAAAATCTACCTAAAGCCCCACGACAGACTGGAGGAAAGAAAATTTAGTTTCCATTGTTTTCTTTAATTTGCCTCAGGGCACAGGTTTGCTTTTAAATACAAAAAGGAAAATGCAAATGTGTAGAATTCATCTCTCTCAGCAGCTGTAAAGTGTATATACATTATTGGTGTTTATCCTTTTCAGTCCTCTCACATCCCTCCCCTATCTGTTGAATAAACTCAAATATAACATGTCTCCGTCCTGCCATTTAGCATGCTAAGTAATTACAGAGGGAGCTGCATCATTTTTCTCATTTGTGTCCTTTTATTAAGATAAATATCTTCTCTCGTTGATGATGTCTCTGTGATTTGGTTAAGAGGTTCAGGGAAAGTGAAAATGACATAAACATATCTTCAAAGTCAAAAGTTAGGACTCAGTGGGTGATTCCTTGGCACTGCCATTTACCAAGCTAGTAATTAATATGCATTTCATTATTCTCCATCAGAACGGAAGTGGCGATATTCACATAGTGACCAGTGACTCATAAAATAGTCAAGCTTTGAAACATACGTCTTTAGAATAGGCTAACTGCCATAAATACACACCTTATAATGCAAGAGTCCTCAAAGCCTGTGTCAGATAAGTCTTTAGCATTGTTAGGAAATGCACAGGTGGGCTTTCATGTTTTCTGCATGTGTAATCGGCGTTGCTGATGTGGCTAAACCCCTGCTGAAACACAAGGACATGCTTGAAACAAGAAAGAAATGTTTGTTGAATAAGTAAACGCATAAATTATAGAGAGCCTCCACTGTAATTTATGCATTTATTTATTCAACAAAAATGTATTAATTAAACGACATAGATAGTAATTGAAAACCTGTTGTGAGCTGGGCACTGTCCCAAAGGGCCAAGAACACAATGCTCCTGTCCTCATTGAGCTTATATTCCAATATGGGAGACAGACAGTAAAAACAAAATAATTTGAATAGCAAGAAGTATAAAGAAGACAAATAGGGTCATACAATGAAGGGTGTTTGAGTTGGTGAAAGGGAGGCTACCTGAGGTTGCTGGTAGGAAGGGCTTCTCCTGGGGACACTGAATGATGAGAAGGAGCCAAACATGCCATAATCTAGGGAAGTGGAAGCGTGCTAAGGTGGGAAGGAGCATGGCAGACTGAGGAACGTGGAGAAGGACAGTGCAGGAACCTGGCAGGATGCGAGGCAGGAGAGAGAGTCAGTACTGGGTTGTATGGGACTATGGAGGCCATGGCAAGAATCTGAATTTTATTCAAAATGCAACATGGAGCCACTTGCAGATTTTCGGGGAGCGATGTGATCTGAGTAAACCGTGAGCCAAATGCTGTGCTGAGTTAAGGCCCCTAGGGCTGTGTTCTGAAAGCCGTCACCGTGAGAGCGCCAAGGCTCGCCTTCTGTGGGCTGATCCCAGCCAGTGAGTAAATGCACCAGGGATACTAAGGCGTACCTGTTCCTGGGACACAGGGGGATCCTCTGGCTGGCTCTGGCTCCAAGGCTCCCGACATTCTTGCTGAACCTTCCTCAGACAGCTGAACAGTCATCCATCCCTCCTCCCTCTCTTTTGCTAAGTGTCATATATGCATCATGGCTAATAGTGCTCCAAGCTCCTCTGTCTTCTTCCCCATATTCTCTCTTAGACAATTCTCCTCATAACATCCTTGCTTTTATAATTTCATCTACTTCCTGGAGGACCAGGACTAACTCATGGGCTGCAGAGACAACTAACAAAATCCTTGAATTAAGGAGCTTAAAATTCCATTAAATGAAACTTGCATGCAAACAAAAAATAGCAATAGAATGACTACAATAATAATTATAGTTATGTAATCATGTAATAATAATTATTATACAATCATATAACGATAATGAAAGTATGTGCAAAACACAGTCGTGCCGTGAAAAAGAAAATTAAGGCATGGTAGGGGAGAGTATTCAGTTAATAAATGCCTTAACTAGAGCTTGCATATTGTGTGCATGGACTGTGGGAAGGATGGGGCATTCTAGGCAAGGGACAGTGTGTGCAAAGGCCCAGGGTCATAAAACTGAGATGCATTCAGAGCCCTCCAGGTCATTTAGTGTCCAGGAGTGCAGAGTCTAGAACTGGGAACCATGGACAAAGGCTGCAGAGCTAGACATGGGCCAGAGCCTTGTGCTTTGGTCTGGAAAATGAGGAGCTGGGAGATAATAGGGTTGGGATATTGAATTTGCCTTCTAGTAGGGTCTCTCTGGTTAGCATGGAGAAAAAGGACCCTCCATTAGGGCTTTTCATAAAATATAAAGTATCATAGGCTTCTTGAGAGAACTATTTGACTTATAGCCATCACCCTACTGTTGTGTCCCCAGAGGAATTCCGCTCTCTTCGCCTGTCCTTTTCTCCAAACCTGGACGACTACAACCCGGACATCCCTGAGTGGAGGAGGGACATCAGCCGAGTCATCAAAAAGTCCCTGGTGGAAGTGAGTGCAGACAGTGCCTTCTCTGGCTCGGGCACATTTCCTTTCTGTCCTTGAAGAGCTTCATGGTGAGGGGACCCTTGTGCAAACAAATGACAGGAAAGAGCTGGAGCCCATGGGAGGTCTGGCTAATCTGTCTGATATCTGCATGGCTGAGCCGCACGCACGCAGACACATCATAGGTGCTATGGGAGGAATGAAACTGAAAAAACATGTGGTCCTTACCCCTTGTGAAACTCTTATTCTGCTTAGAGAAGAAGAACATGGAAATTTGTGACAGTCATATAGAAAAGTGCATGGTTAGACATTAGTAAGTGTGAAATCAGCTACTGTGCATTAATACAGAAAGACACAGCGTGAATACAATTAGTAAGATCAGCCCTGGGTTCCAGCTCCACAAATGGCGAGCATAACAACACAGTGAGCATTCAGCACTTGATGGTTAGCCATCTTTCTATGTCCCAGTTCTTTTAAAGGTGTTTTTCTCCTACAACAGCCCCATGAGGAAAGTATTGTTGTCCACGTTTTGCAGATTAAGCAACTGAGGTTTAGAGAGGTTAAGTAACTTGCCTAATGTCTTGCAGCTAGTAAGTGATAAAGCTACAAAATTGAAGTGAAGAAGGATCTCAGCTCAATGCCTGGGTTTTTACTTAATGAAACACAGCCCCCCACATTACTGGGAGAATAACAGTGGTGTGGTTTATCCTTTTCCAAGCTAACGTCACTGACAATTTGTTAAGACACCTTCTTTTAGGGATGTTTCCCTCTGCATAGTCCACTTTCATGAGTGATCAGAAGAATGGGATCTCTGCTCATGGAGCTGCTTGGATGTATTGCACAAACTCAGAAAATCAGAGATGACAGACTTTTCCCTGGGGTATGTTCTTAGCCCAAAAGGAAAGTCAATTTAGGGTTTTTTATTCTTTTCTGCAACCAACACATGGTGCCTCATGACACAAAGAGATGATGGGATGATTCAGATAACCCCTGCTCAGAAAATGGATTTCACACCCAGCCTTTTGGCAAAGAGCTGGCCTTCCCCATATTCACACCGTTATTTTTGTTGGTACTTATTTAGCACTTACAACATTCCAGAAACTCTTCTTAGTGCTTTGCATTTTTTTTTAACACATTTAATCACAAAAAAACTAGCTTATGATGTAGATAGTATGATTATTCCCATTTTACAGGTGAGGAAACTGTACTTAGAGACAGGTAACTTGCCCAAGGTCATACATTTAAAGTTCAGGCTCTAGAGTCAGACCACAAAGGTTTGAATCTTGATTTTGTGGTTTGCTAATCACTCCACTCTACTGCCATCCTTTGCCTTGTTACATGGAGAAACATGAATAAATGGAATAGTGGGGGGTAGAAGGGGTATCTTCATGTGCCTCTGGGTAAATGCCATCTCACCTTTGTCTTCATGACTCTCAGCATCCATGACACTATTGGAGGATAAACATTATGACCACCAGGGAGCGTGGCTCCTAGCCTACAGGCCCAACTGGAATAGGCTGTTCTACCCTTGGAGCTGTTTGGTGTTTGTTCCTGATGTGACAACTGGTTTCTCTCCTCTGCTGTCCAAGAGAGATGACTGACACCCTTCAAAGAACCACAGCCCACCTCCTTCAGTCTGCAACGTTCTAGGGATCCATGTCCCTGTAGATCTCCCAGGCAGCTGTCCAACGCCCCCAGGTGATTTATCAACCAGGCATTAGCTCAACAGGGACCAATTTTCCAGGCTGATTTTTTTCTTCACATTTATTATCTAGGGATCAGAGGCCCTGGGTCTCCACCTTTCCACCAGCTGTCCAGTAGGCTAGAAATTACTGCTCATCAGTCTTTCTAGGCTGCTGCATAGCATAATCAACTAAATGCAGAATAAATAGGTTGGCTCAACATCCCTCAAGACAGGGTGTGATGGGGTGGAGGGAGTTCTGAAGACTCCTTGGTTACCCAATCCTAAGAGGCAGCTGACCCAGCCCCTAGTTCCTAGTGTCCCACCCTGTCTTTGAGATCAGTGATTATACTTGGCCACTTCCTTAAGCCCTGAAGTACCGCATAGCCAACTGTAACCTAATAAGCTCTACAAGCGGTACAAGTTGGGGTCAACTTATTTGTAGTTTTCTTCCTATTCATTACATGACAGAATTTGAAATAAAATTGGTTGCCTTCTCCTCATCAAATAGGTTTTTTCTATTGACGTTTCACAAAGGAATCTTTAACTGAATGTCATTTAATAAACATTTTTGTACATGATGAGGATGGTTTAGACATAATTTTGAGTTTAAAATCTAGTAGGACCATAAAACAGTAGGAATTAGCTGTGATAGGAGCTGCTGTGTGCTAAGTGTTGGGACGATGGAGGCAGTAGAGCACTGGTTAAGAACATAGGCTTCATGGTCAGACTGAGGTTCCAAACTAAGCGTCACCACTCACTACCTGGATGGCCTTGAGACACTGTTTAACCTTCTTCATCTACCATCTATCCTGTAGCAGAAATAGAGATGCACCACCCAGATCCCCATTCAGGGAGAGACTGTTGTCTTAGCTGCTGGGAGTGGTGGGGGCAGAGGCTTCAGCTGCTTTGCCCCATATCATGTTCCTTTCCAGGGTGGCTCACGTCCAATGATTGACTGAGAGTTATATAACGGCCTGGCCATCTCAGCTCAACCTCAGACAAATCTGAAGGGCCATTCTCACTCCCTACAAAGTCTCCTGAGGCTGTCGTTGGCCTTCATCACAGCTCAACTTCTCCATCTGCCCATTCTTGCTTCCTTCCCTTAACTCCCATAGATGTTGATCCCAAGAATACCCCTTAAAAAACATTCTGCACACTAAACTCAGAGTCAGCTTACTGAGGACCCCAACCTGTGATATGTCTTCACCTGCAAAAAGAGGCATAATAATGCTTGCTTCAAAAAGTCGTTGTGGGGAGTTGTGCCACATAATATTAACAAGTTGCTTAGCACAATGCCAGACCCATGGTAAGGACCTAATAAATGGAATTTTTTGCTACTTCAATAAAGGTATAAATGTGGAGTTCAGAAACAATCACTTAATTGGGAAGTCATGAAAAACATACTGAAATAAGTGGACTTTAAGAAGATTCATGAAGGATAAGTAGGGTTCTAGCAGCAAATGTAGAGAAAAGACATTCTGGGGGAGATGGCATGCACAAAACCAATTGCAGGAAAAGGCCAGAATATTGAAAAATTGTACATGATTCCATTTGGCTGGAGCATAAGATGACTGTGTGAGTTGTGGGTAATTTGTTTGGAGAGGAAAGGCGGGACCATATTGCAGAAGAGTTTGAATATACATTTAATCCAGTTAGCAATGGGAATCATTGCAAGAATTTGGACAGGGAACGGGATCTGAGTTGGACTGTAGGAAGATAAATCTGGAAGCAGTAGCCTGTCTCCTAGAGACGGGGAGGCTATTGTAAAACTTGAGGGGAGAGAGCATAAAGCCTGAATTGAGATACTAACAGTGAGTACTTAAACAGGAAGGAACCAATGGGATCCTTAATGTGGAGGTCAATTTGTCAGGATCTCATAGACTGATTGGGTACAACATGGGAAGGAGGGTGCAGTGTCAGAGGCAAATGTAAGGCTTCAACTAGGGTATCTGGGAAAGCACTGCTTCAAGTCATCCAAATGAAGAATGAAGATTTGGGGAGTGAGACTGAGTTCTTTTTTTGACACGTTTGTTGGAAGGCCTAGTAAAACAACCAAAATGACATTCTGACTGGCTGCTGGAGAGAAAAACTGGGATTGTAGCTATTGATTCCAGAACCATCTAGAGAGTGGGCTCAGGGGAAACCCTGGCATATAAGCTCAAAAGAGAGCAGATGAATTAAGACAAAGAGGAAGTCTTTGAGTGATATCTATAATTTTAACAAAAGATTCAGCATGGCAAAGTGAAGGGCTCAGAGTGCTTCATGAAACAGGGGCTGGTCAACAGGTTCTGATGCTGTGAAGTCAACAGGTGCCTGAGGGTTGTGATATGGAGGAGTTCTATTAGGCTAGGAGATTAGGATGTGACTGGTCAATTTGGAGAGTAATTCTAGTACTACAATGAAGCAGGCTAGGTTAGAAACGATTAAGGTCGGGCCGGCTCCGTGGCTTAGCGGTTAAGTGCGCGCGCTCTGATGCTGGCGGCCCGGGTTCGGATCCCGGGCGCGCCCCGAGGCACCACTTCTCCGTCCAACGCGAGGCCGAGTCCCACGTACAGCAACTAGAAGGATGTGAACCTATGACATGCAACTATCTACTGGGGCTTTGGGGGGAAAAAAATGAATAAATAAAATCTTTAAAAAAAAAAAAACGATTAAGGCATGAGGGGCAGATGATAAAGTAAATGAGGGTCTCTCACTGGCATGGTCCATTTACTAGAGATGCCCTTTAGGAAGAAGAGCAAACATTTGAATCCCCAGGTACCACTACGAATGCTCATGTGTAACACGTTTAATTCTCAAAAGCACCCTTTTTCAAGGCAAGAACTGCTGTTATTCTCATTTTTTATTTGAGAGAATGCAGGCAGAGGAGATAAGCAAAGTGTTTATGATCTCGCTGGGGTGGAGCTGGGATCAAACCTCAACAGTCTGACTCCGGAGCCTGCATTTGTAGCCCGGTGCTGTCTCTTACATCCCTTCCTGCTGGTGCACCCAAGACCCTGCTTTCATGGCCCCCAACGCCAGCCCTGTGTCTTCTTACCACTCCCCACCCCCCACTCCCCACTGAATACTCGATCCCTTCTCATCACCTTTCCTGCAGGACTTACATGCGCCTCTGTGTCTCTCCCTCAGGCCACAGGGGTTCCAGGCCAGCACATCTTGGTGGCAGTGCTCCCTGGCTTGCCCACTGCTGCCGAGCTCTTTGTCTTGCCCTATCAGGATCCAACAGGAGAAAACAAAAGGTCAGCCGAGGACCTGGAGCAGGTGAGTCCCCCAGGCAACATTTTAGCGTCTCCCAGAAGTCTGAGCCACACCCTTGCTGGTATCTGACCACCACAACAGCAGCTCTGAGCAGTCTCTGCTTGAGAAGGAGGGCACCGGCAGTTTGTGGAGTCTTTGACTTTCTGGTCCTCCATGGAGAAACATAATCTAGCGATCCTAACTACAGCTTCACCAAAAAACATGTGCAGGAGTGTTTATTGTAGACAGTGGCTAAATTATTCAGAGTATATTGACACTATGGAATATTCTACAGTGTTTACAATGAATTAGATAAATCTATGTGTACTGACATGACAAAAAGGGAAAAAAAGCAAGTAAACAATACATAGAAGTTGAACCCATTTATATCTTACTTCACATACTTTCATCACAAGAGTGTTATGAGAATCAAATGACATGATATCTTTTTAAAAAGGTACAAGTTTTATGCAAATCATGAGTCCTCTTTATCACCACCATGCTAAGATGACCTGATGTGTATTTATAATGAATGAGTAATATTAGCTCCGAGCACCTCTACATCTCCACCAACTCTGGAGTATTAGAGTGTGTGTGTGTGTGTGTGTGTGTGTGTGTGTGTGTGTGTGTTTCTTCTGTCCCCTTAGATCTTTATTTTCCTCCCTCTCCTCCTCTTAATTTCAAAAGATTCTCCGATCTCTATAGTGGAGATTATTATCATTATTATATTATTGTTGTTTATCTTATTCTTCATCTATTTAGTTAAAACGATCAGTCTTGGTCTGGTTACCCTTTTAGAAACTACATGATTTTGGTTTCTCAATTCTTTCTGGCAGATGGATTAAAAATAGGATTTCTCTCAGACACTAAAGAAATATTGGTTTTGTCCCCTCCAGTACTTGGAGCTTTTCAATTTACTTAGAATAAACCCATAATCTACTCCCGTGATCTCTCGTCTTTCAAGATGACTTGAGAAGCTCTTATAACAGCCTTATTAACAACAACCCCAAATTACAGCCTGGCCCACCTCCTAGCATACACCCTCCTTTCAAATGCCACTTTCTCACTTGGCGGAAGACTCACCTCTATAATTGTCTTCATGTGCAAGTAATGAAGAACAGAGCTGTCACGGAAAGCCCTGTTGAACCCCATTTCCTAGTGAACTGCAATTGAAGGTCGGGCAGCAGGTAACCCGTCAGATTTGCATCTGACTTTGCTCAGCCCTGGCACTCAGCTTCCCATTAGATTCTACAAATTATTATCTGCACCTGCAATTTAGCAGGAGAAAGGATGGGTTATTTCTCATCACAGCACAGCTGATGAGAACTGAGAGGGGAAGTAGATCACTATCCAAGGTCTTTAGGTATGAACATTTGCAGTTGTTTCTCCTCTGGAAATCTTATTGATTGTCCATGAAATCCAGATTATAATCTTTTCAAGTATAGAAGGGTCTGGATTTTCCTAGTGAATTTCCCAGGCACCACATCATCTGTGCATCTGTATTTCTCATACTTTCCATTTTTCTCTAAAAGTATAATATTTTCTATGTGTTTCCTTGAGGCGAAGTGTGGAAAGAAGAGGGGTATGTTCTGTGAAACTTCTTTTGCTTGTGTAGGAATGTATCTTGCTTTGACTGTCCATTGTCTCTGGAGTTCTTGTTTCTCTTTATTCCCCATCTTGTCTGAGTGCCTCCTCCAAAGACATTCTCGGAGACTTGAATGCTTCTCTCCAAGGCAGCCTGGCATAAGATATTGAGGACCATTTAATTAGAGATCTGAAGGCAGCTGGCTTGTTTGAAGGCTATGTGACTTGGCATTTGGTACATATATAGGGAGTCCAGCCATTTTATTAGAAAGAGCACAGATTTGGAGAAATATAAACCAGGTTTCTAGTTTCAGCACTGATATTCATTATGTCTGTTTTATAGATGAGGAAAATTAGGACCAGAAAAGTTAAATAATTCAGCCGAAGTCACACAATCTATAATACCCATCTCAGAGGTGTTTGAGAGTCATTAAAGAAGTGATACAGCAAAGTACTTGGCCTATAGTAGATGCTCAATAAATGGTAAATAGATGATGGTTACATTTATGGCCATTTTATGATAGGAGGAGAATATATGGGAAATGCAAAAGAAAACTTAGGCCTATTAAAGACTATTTGGTATAGTCAAGGGCATGTATTAGAAGAAAGACGATAGTGGGAGTAAGGAAAAAAGATTAATAATTGAAATTACACACGGGAACAAGGACAATAAGAAATAGACAGAACATATATGAATGACTATACTGGAGTAAGGATGACCCACCTAAGTTATCATGCAGATTTATAGCATTAAAGGAAAAGAAAAGTCTGTTGAAGGAAGTTGCCAGTGTATCATCAGCCTTATCCAAGACTCAAACTAAACTAAATACAGTGACCAAACAAATGCCAAACCAAGCACATAGGAAATCAGTGTCTTAGTTATGGAGTATATCATTACCCTGATTAAAAAGTGTAGTAATGAAATCGACATGTAAAACTGACCCGTGTGTCAAGAACCTGTGAAACAGGGGCTGCCCATCGAGAACCTCTAGTTTTCATCCTGAGAGAGGTCCTTTGATCCTTCTCTCTGAATCAGTCACTTTAAAATGAAGAATTCAGGTCCCAACTAAGATTGACTGAGATGACACAACTCTTCAGGGAGAATGAGATTCTAGTTCTGTTTCTGCAGCTAACTCGCAAGCCTGGCTGTCCCCCCACACCACCATAGTCCTCCCACTCCGCCATGCTGCAGATGTGGATTTAGATACCACTTTACTGCTTTTTCCTCTTCCGGGGACGGTGTAGAGAGGCATTCAGAATGGTCCAGCGTTTGACATATCGTCGTAGGCTGTCCTACAATACAGCCTCTAACAAAACTAGGCTGTCCCGAACCCCTGGTAATAGAATTGTTTACCTTTATACCAAGAAAGTTGGGAAAGCACCAAAATCCGCATGTGGCGTGTGCCCAGGCCGACTTCGAGGAGTTCGTGCTGTGAGACCTAAAGTTCTTATGAGGTTGTCTAAAACGAAAAAGCATGTCAGCAGGGCCTATGGAGGTTCCATGTGTGCCAAATGTGTCCGTGACAGGATCAAGCGTGCTTTCCTTATTGAGGAGCAGAAAATCGTTGTGAAAGTGTTGAAGGCACAAGCACAGAGTCAGAAAGCTAAATAAAACAAATGAAGCTTTTTGGAGTAATAAAAAAAGTCAAAAGGCTTGTTCTGTTAAAAAAAAAAAAAAAAAAAAGATACCACTTTACTTCTGTGGGCCCAGAAATAACAAGGCTGTTGCACCAGGAAATGAATGAAAGATGTTTTGCTTTGTTTTGAGTTTTGCGTGTTTTCTTTTTTCCCCTCTGGTGCGATGAACAGATATCCAATTAAAACAAATTTAATGGGAAAGAGTGAAGTTATGAGCTTATTTAGTTGGGAAGTCCAAGGATACAGTTTTCAGGCATAGATGAATTCAGAGCCACTCAAAAGTGTCAACAAATTACTCCTCCGTCTTCGTCTCTCCCTCCTTCTGCATCTCTTTTCTTTGCTACTATGTGAGAAGTCTGCCTGATAATGAAGCCAAAATTCAGGAAAGCAAGAATGGCCACAGGAAGCCCCAGCTTCTATTTAGTTAGTCTGTCAACCCCATCCAAAAGACAGTGCCCTCCCCCGCGGCTTGCACCACAAGAGCCCCAGGTGGACAGTTCTCACTGGCCTGACTGGGGTGAAGTGGGCATCTCTTAACCAGCCCCTGTAGTCAGAGGGATAGAGTGCTGTCAGTGACAACTCAGATGTTCTGTACCCTCCCTGCATCAGAGGTTTAGGGAGCGCCTCCTAAATCAAATGGACCAAGAATAAAGAAGGACGTAATTCCTCAAAGAAAAATGTGGGGGAGAGAAAAGGAACGCCAGGCGAAAGCAACTGACTTCCTTTGTAATAAATTACACAGAAATTTAAAAGGAATGCAAAGCAAAACCAAACAACAGAAGGGAACACCCTCCTTTGAAGGCTGCACTCTGAATCCCAGATGGAACTTGGGAAGGGCTAACTTTATCCCCTCTCTTAATGCTCTGGCCCCATTCTTGCAAAGATACAGTACAGAACCTCCAGCAGAGGAAGAAATGGGACTCTGGCCAGATGGACCCTGAAGACTGCAAGGGCAAAGCCCCAGCAAAGGGCTCTTGGCTCTCCTCCCTTGGCTTCCTCTAATAGCATTCCCAGGGGAGCAGGGATGCTGGCTTAGCTCGAGCTATCTTGTCTGTGAAATAAATGGAAGATTCCTCACAGTGAGAAGTACTTGACCTTGTTATCAAGATAACGTGGGCTGGGTTAATCAAGTGACCTCTGTCTGGAGAGCTCCACCAGTCTTTACTTCAGATCTCTGGTGAGTGAGAAAAGGCTCTCTTGCCCTTAGCTGGCCTCATCAGGGATAGCACATCCTCCTACCCTGCGGCCAGCTGCTCAGGTATGGAGCACACTGCAGCCCCTCCACCCCTGTACTCCCTTGCTCCTCTCTGAGTCCTCGGAGGTGAGGAGATTTGTATCTGGCTCTCTTGAAGGGAGAAAAGACCGTCATGCTCTGTTGAGATTGTTTGTGATGCTGTGCTGGGGAGATAGGGAGCCTACATGTTGTCTTGCAGAATCCTTAAAGGGCATGAAAACATTTAAAAGAAACAAAAAGACTACGGAAAAAATGTCAACCACCAAAAATGAATTTCCTCCTGGGCAGTTTATGTTACCATATACGTTTGACAGATGCAGAGTCTGAAATCCAGGGAAAGGAAAGGTGCCTTTGAAGATGGAACAGTCCATTGTCAGCATTTTTAGAAATTAAAGATTTATTATGAAATATAATTAATAATCTCAGACTATTTTCTATATACTCACATAGTCTGCCCTGGTCAGAGTTTTTAACATAGGAGTTGAATTATAGAAATCCTCCGGAGTTCACAAGGAAGGTTGTTAAAGCAGAAAACAATAACTGAAAGTAGTGTGGGTAAGAATTGGACCAAACGGAATATGGCAAAAGGAGAAAGAGAAAAGCTTAGAGCTTTTTGGTAATGGGGCATACAAGAGGAGGAGGTGTGTATGGCCAATTTATTTCTGCATTATGCCATCCAGGAAACTTCGTAGGCACTTTAATCAAGCTGATTCTTTGGTCCAAAGAAAAGAGAATTGGGTGAGCTAGTATTAACTAGAATTAGTGGCTAGCTCTGTTGCTTGCTTCATGATTTAATCCAGAAATTATGTTTTATGAATTGGGAAGATTTTCCTCTGTGGCATCCAAAAGGAATATTATTCAACTACTATTTGAAGGGACCTTAATAATGTAAAAGAATCAAGATTGATCGACTGGGTCAGCTCCAAGGTCATCCCAGGCAAGTCTCTCTCTAAACATGGCACCAGAATGCTATTGATGTTCAGTAGAGTTTGCATTCCTCCTACCACCTTCAGAGCCAAGCATTAGTTTTTTGGCCCAGTGTAGCTTTGTCATTGATAAATCTGCCATTTTGAATCTATGGTTTCACCTTGTCCCTCTTCTTTGGGTTGTGTGTTTAATAAATTTACCAATTGCTTCGGTATCCTTAAACTTCTCTTTTTTCATGTTTCACTGTTTGTCACTTCCATTCTAATAATCTGAGAGTGTGTTTTCCCCTACTGTTTTCATTAAAAATTGTTTAGATGTTGAATGTGTTCCTTGTGTGGTAACTATCACTGCTGTTAACTAAATATTTCCAGCTTACTGCCTTCTGGGTTCATGGTAGGGTTGTACCCATGAGTCTTTTCTGTAGGCAGAGCCATGTGACTAATTCTGGCCAATGAGTTGGGAGCAGAAGTGATATGTGTCACTTCCAAGCTGAAGTATTCAAATGCCAGTTGCAGATCCTCGAGAGCTCCTTTTCTTTCCTATGATATTGTGAATGGAAACGTTTGAGGGGGCTGCTCCACCAGCCTGTGACCCTGTGTGACCATAATGAGCACAGCACCACTGCCTACCTGCAGTGCATATGAAGTGCAAGCAAGAAATGTACCTTCATTGTTTCCAGTCTCTGAGATTTTAACATTGTTCCTCAGCCTAACCTAGCTTATTCTCATTGCTGCACTGAAATTTTATGTTTTGTGAAGAAGAGGAGAATTGGTATTTTCCCTGTAGCAGGTCCCTCCCACTACGTCCTTTTTTTTTTTTTTTTTGTAAGGAAGATCAGCCCTGAGCTAACATCCGTGCTAATCCTCCTCTTTTTTTGCTGAGGAAGACCAGCTCTGAGCTAACATCTACTGCCAATCCTCCCCTTTTTTTTTCCCCAAAGCCCCAGTAGATAGTTGTGTATCATAGTTGCACATCCTTCTAGTTGCTGTATGTGGGACGCGGCCTCAGCATGGCCGGAGAAGCGGTGCGAAGGTGCGCACCTGGGATCCGAACCTGGGCCGCCAGTAGCGGAGCATGCACACTTAACCACTAAGCCACGGGGCTGGCCCCCACTACATCCTTTTAACGGTAGCTTTCCAAGTATTTTTATTGAGTCCTTACTGTCTTTTTAAGTGGTACTTTAGGTCAAGTGTGCGTTGCACTTGAGTCACAGGCATATTTCACCAAATAGACAGATACCAAGTATAATATGTTGTTTCTTTGGTCCTGATTATTTACCTGAAGGAGAATAGAAAATGGACTGTGTAGGCAAGTAGCAGAAGAAGGATGACAGTAAAAAGGATAAATGAAATTTGTGAAGACAACACACTTTCGCTGGACAGAAAAACAAAAATAAATTCAGCTTGCTTTAGCAGGTCCAATATCCCAGCAATCATATATTGTTTCGCTTGAGTCTATCATGCAAGTTTTTGTACTTCTCATTTAGGCTGTCACCACACTTTTCTATAGATTGTGGTTTATTCTACTCCTTTCACAGCCAAAGGCTCTCTCAAACATTACAAATTGTATTAACTGGTAAACAGAATGTGGCACTCCTGAGGATAGGGTTAGGAATTGTCTATTCCTGTAGCTCATATTGGTCAGCTAACATGGGACTGGTGTTATAAGTTGTGTGCTTCACAGATGATGCACACAGGAGAGATGGAAGCATAATTAATGAAATGCTATATTTTTTTAATCTCTTAAACCTGCTCAGCCAGACATCTTTCCAAATATCTTTTGCTCTCTTTCTTTGTCAGCTGGTTCAAGAAAAATGTTTTAATGGAAATGCCCTAGGATTAGGAGTCAAATAAAACTGAAGTCTAGTCTTAACTCTTCAAATATTAACTGGGTAAACTTAGGTATGTCCTTTAACCTCTGTGTTCCTTTCTGTGAAAATACCAGCACTGACACCTAAAACAATCTGCGTTAGAAAAAAATGTGCAACTTTACCAATATGAAGTGTTCAATGCATATATGATATATGTATAATATATAGTATACTAAAATATATATCGTCATGATTTGATGAAACAGGGTAAACACTTCTACAAGTGGCATGAAAAACATTTAAAATATTATCAAATCCATCAACAGTTTCATACTCATTTGAGTACAGAAGTACATGGTTTTAATTGAGATTATTCTTGTATGCAATGTAAATTTCATTTAGTTTTGTTTCTGAGCATAATTTCCTTCCCGCAAAGTATGTGTTCTTTATTGCATGTCCTTTGATGCAAGTTAAATACATGAAACATATTTTCTGCTACTAAATCATTTTTTCATAGCCTGCTTAATTTTGTAAATGATACAGATAAGGCCAATGAAACAATGTCATAAACTAAAACAAGACTGGGAAGTTAATTATTTTCACAAGGGACTTACCCCGAAGATTATAAATTAGAAGTATATTGTTCTGATGAACTCTATTTTCTGGTTTAGTTGTTTATATATCTCACTTGAGGAAAACACATTCTCAGGTATAAGAAATAAATATCACTTCAATTGGTTGAAAAAGAAGTCTTTCTTTTGCAAATACATAGTTTCCTTTTGTCCATGTGATGGACTCTGCAAAACAGGGCAATTCCTTGATTACTTCTAAGTCTTTTCTATTTGAGTTAAAATATCTTTTCTGCAAATGTAAGTGTGTATATTTGCACATATATAGGCATGTGTATATAAACGTATATTTCATGAATACATAATTATACATATTTCACATATATTACACATGTCTATATGTGTGTATGTGTGTGAGTGTATTTGTATTTCATAGCCAAAACTATTCTGAATGACCTCCACTGAAACTCCACTGTCAGATTCCTGTAAAGACTTTACCAGCTGAATAAGAATAAGATAGGATAGAAACTTGTGCATTGCAGCACTCTAGAGAACGCAGAGGAAGAACGTTCTACATAGTCAGTGTTAGAAATCCACTCTTCCTATAAACCTGGAGCATTCTGGAAGAGTCTCAGTGCCCAGGAAAAAGAGTAGCCTAATATAGAGAATAAAGTTGTTTTCAACATAATTTTATCACAACCTTGTTTTTCTGCATGGCTTGTTGGCCAAATGAAAACATTTGAAAGTCTGAGCTTGCACTGGATCTCAGGTGCTCAAACACCGGTGCTGACAGTCATCCCACGTTCCTGTTGTTAAGCAAAGAAGGTCATCCGCAGGGCAGTTCGGTTCCATTACCAATCGGGGTGTCTACAAGAGACTCGGCTTCAAAACAAAGCCATCAGGCTCTGCTTAATTGATAAAAGGATCAAAGATGTCATTTTGGCCACTCAGCGGACTAAGTGAAACTCAGCAAATATAAAAGGAAAAAAAAATTAAGAATTTAACTAGCAGAATGGTGGTCAAAAAGCATCTAATTAGACTTAAATAGCATATTAAGTTGATGATTAGAATATTAAAAATAAAGCAAGGGGGCCCAGCCTGCTGGCCAAGTGGTTCAAATTCCATGTGCTCTGCTTCGTCTTTGCAGGTTCAGATCCTGGGCACGGACCTACTCTGCTCACCAGCCACGCTGTGGCGGTGTCCCACATACAAAAAAAACATAAAAGGAGAATGGCACAGATGTTAGCTCAGGGCTAATCTTCCTCAAGCAAAAAATAAAAAAATAAAAAATAAAGCAAAGAATCCAGATAAAAATAATAGGAATGTGGTTTTCCCTGATAGCTTGTTAAAAATTGCTCAAAAAGATAAGCAAAACAGCAAATTGAGCTGAGTTTTCTATTTTAAACAAATGAGTAGAGATTTACCTTTTTGTAAAACCTTATGTTATGCTGTTACTATGCAGACAAGATTTTTTGCCCCATATTAGGATTAAATATTTCATGGCCCAGAATTCCATGCGTCTGTCCAGTACACGTTTGTCAGCTTGAGGAGCAATTTAGCTAATGTCCATAATCATGAAACAAGGATCAGCCATTTCATTACTTAAGTTATGGTTACACTTTGTTTTAACTGTATAGTATTTATTTTATCAGAACTATATGTACCATTCAATATATATTCACAAAGTATCTATTCTGTGAAATTCACAAGACATGGTTTGCGGAAAGGGAAGGAGGCATAGAGAGAAATAAGGTGGAGTCTACTATCAAGAAGTAAAATAAATGTATATGAATCTCACCAGAATATGTAAATTGTATATATCTACTTCTTTAAAATCCTTGTATATGACAAATGCTCTCAAAAAATGAGGGTACTTTTCTAAAGATAATATAGGATAATTTTTTAAGAGTAGAAATTATTTGATTTACTAATTGTCCTATTTTGTAGCAATTGAGATATGAAGTCAGATCCTGCCTAAAAAATAATTATATCTGCATATTCTGGAATAAAAACTCAAAATCATATAAAACTCGTTTATGTAATTCACAGGTATAATATTGGGATGCCTAGGTAAATGCAGTAAGTGTGTCTAAGCAGGTTTGCTTGTAGTCAGTATAACAATTTTGGTGGCACTCACCGTGACATTTCTTCTTTCAGATATCAGAACTACTCATCCACAAGCTCAACCAAAACTCAGTGCACTTTGAGCTGAAGCCTGGGGTCCAAGTCCTTGTCCATGCAGCCCACTTAACAGCAGGTCAGTTTCCATGTCCCTGTGCTCTGGCGAGTGGCTCTGGCAAAGGGGGATCCCAATCTGTTGTTTCAGAGTAACAAGACTAGATGGTGCCACCGCTAATAGGAAATAGGGCATCAGTCTTTGGGGGTTCCCTTGCTTGGCTTTTTTACCTTAATGGGAACCCATAAGGCAACAGAATAAGCTGACTTTTCCTACTTAGTCCCTGGCGAAAACCATCAGTGAATCACCTAGATACATACTCCTCAAATGATAACATGCTTCATCTCAACAGAAATCTTGAAAATAACCCTACAAATAACTTTTTTCCAGGCTTTCTGCAAAACCTTGTTTTCAAATCATTCATGTTACAAAGAATTTTTTCTTTAAGTTTTGGGATAAAGTAGTACAGTAGAAATAGCTGGACCATAGCCAGGAGTTGAACCCTGAGTTGGTCATGATCTTACAAATTAATTAAGGTCATTGAGCTTCTGTCTCTTCACCTATAAAAGGTTGAGAGGAAAATCCTCCTCCTAAGGCTATATAGAAGTTTCAATGATATTTCAATGGGTTCAGGTAATCCAAAGTATATAGAAATAAATATTATTGTGTTATATTAATAATAAATTAAATTAACAATATTTATTGAGTACTTATTTTTGCAGAGTACCATGCTGGTACTGCATGGAGTACAAAGGCCAGTAGGAAGTGGTCTTTGTCCTCAAAACACGTATAATCTGGTGTGGTGTGGCAAAGTTTGGTGGTAGCAGTGGTGGTGGTGCCCTGGGGTAGGGGAAGTGGGCAGTGGTGGGGTATCTCAATGAGCACAATGCATAAATGCTTGTATAGCGAGGCGATAGAGTATTTTTAAGCACTTAGATTTTGCAATTTTGCAGCCAGATCATTGATTTCAATCTTGGCTCCATCACTTACCCACTATATAGACCTGGAGAAGAGACTTAACTTCTCTGTACCATAGGCATGGCAATAGCACTTATATCAATGGGAGGATTAAGTTAATTTAGGTAATGCCCTTAGAATAGTGCCCAGTGCACAGTAAGGTATTATTTTTCTTTTTATTCTTTTTTATTATTAACAATCAAAGTTGTATAGGAAATTTCAAGCAGAGATAAATTGTGCTCAGTCAAAATGATACAGGAAAATTTCATGAAGGAGATAGTCTTTGGAAAGGACCTTGAAAGATGGATAGGATTGAACTCAAAAAATCATCTCAAGCACCAAAGCATCAAAGAAGGAGCATGAAAGCCTCAAGGGCTTTGGGGATGCTGATTAAGTGGGGACAAAAAGGAGTAGTTTCCAACTCCAGTCTCTGGTTTCCTGGAGATTCTGGAGGTGTGCCTAGGTTTAGAGGAAGGCCAAGCAGGTTGGCCACTGGCCTCTTTTCTTCTTGAATTCTATTTTTTTTTTTCTTTATTAGGGTTTCATAAAATATTCTGTTTAAAATAAAATAAAAATCCACTGCCTTAGAAAAACAAGTATTTAAAGCTCACTGTTCTTGGGCATGGGATATGGGCGTGGAACGTGGAATGCCAGGCTGAGAAGCTTGTACTTCCGTTGATGGGCTCTGAGAAGCCATCTAGACGTTTGAACAGAGGTGTGACCAATTGAGAGTGTCACTTGAGGAAGGTGACTCTTAAGAACAGGGAGGATTGGGTAAAGCTGATTTGCTGTTCTGCATCTTGTCATCCTAATTCATCTACTTAGCAGACATTTATTGAGAGCCTGGCTACTCTGAGCCAAGCAATGTTCTCAGAATGGGATTGAGTCTCTGCCTTCATGAAGCTTCCATCACTGGGGAAAGCCAGGCAGGAAGCAAATTAACAAATGCCACTTTCTGAATTGTGTTGCTGATGAGAATGCCACGAAGAAAATAAGGAAGTGTGAGAGAATGAGTAAGAAAAGAGCATCGAGTAAGCAGCACCTGTGAAAGCAAGCCCTAAGCCTAAGGCCTGAAAGATGACTGCCAACTTATCTCAGAGCATTTGATGATCTGGATTGGCTGCTTCCTACTCAGAAAACTGACCTTCTTTGGTCTTTGGTGAATTATAGTGACACACGGCAGTTACACATGGCTGGGGGTACTGGAAAACAAAGTCCGGAAACATTAGTTGTAGTTATCCTGATAGCCAAGCCACTGACAAATTTTGTCAAATGAATAGGAAGTAACTACTTGAAATTGGTTTAAATAGGTTCACTGACTTATTTAATCTAATCAGACAGTCCAGCCCACTTCGGTGGCTGACTGAACCAACCATCCTCTCCTATGGAGCTAGAGCTACTTGTTCCCTTTGAGTTTAGAGGTTAAAAACAACTGAGCCTGATATTCCATACTGAACTCTGAGTTTGAAGGGATGTGGCCAACTAGTGCATCCCTTGTGATGCAAAATTTGCTTTACAGCATACTCAGCTTCTAAATGAACACTATCTTCAGGCAGCATATTTTGCTGTAGAGTAGCTTGATTTATTAGAAAACACTCCCTTACTGTTTACCATGGGCCTCTGTTGGAAAGGGGAGCATCCTAGGCCAAGCTAGGCAGAGAACTAACCCCACTTCTCCACTTCTCCATTTCTGGAGGCCACTTGTATTTCTTACCTTTTTACCTCCCCATACCTCTCTTCTGTCAGTTATTTTTTGTGCCTGGTTTTTACTTAACAGATTGTCATATCACATTCCAAAGATGGTTCAGATTATTTTGCTAAATTTGAAAGCTTGTTTCAGATGTTACTTGAGGAAGCTTTCCTATAATGACAACTGGTAGAGCTGGGATCAAGCTGAAAAATAAGGATCAAAAAAGTGGGTAATTAGCTTAAACTGGTTTAACCAATGGCTTGGCCAGGGCAACTGATACAGCAAAGGCATCCATGGTTCCATAGTTCCATGTGGAAAAGAAAATCCATTCCCGGTAACCATGAAGGGTTTAGCCCACTGGTGTAAACTCCAGATGGCAAGGAATAATGCAAAGTTGGGAAGATCTGGAAAATTTCTCCAATTAATGTTCATAGTTGGAGAATAACCATAACTGGGAATTTGGGGAGCAAGACTCAGATCCCTGGGAAGAAGGGCTGGCAAAAGGGAACTACTGGAGTTCAGATAAGCACACTGAGATTTGAAGGAGAGCCCCCTGCAATATAGACATTTATGATGCAAGGTTACCAAAGAATGAGAGAACAACAACAAGAAAAAATACAGTTTGAGGCAAAAACTCAATCTTAAACTGGGCCACTTTTGAGAAAGGGAGAAAAATCTTTGACATCCAACCATTATGGCTGTTCAGAGTTCTTCCCCGTTAGATTTGATAGTAGGGCCATTTGGTGGTGTAATTTCCAAACCCAATCAACGGGCATTATTGAGCTTCCTATTATGACTGCTCAGCGATTGGAATAGATATAGACTTATGTGAGGATAAGCAGGTGCAGTTTGAAGAGTAAAGGAAGAGAATGTCAAGGGCTGACATGATAACTGAGTCTTGGAACCTTTTGCTATATTGAGTTCAGCCATGTTTGTCATAATAGGGTTAGAACTGACAGTACCCACAGGTGCAAAAATCACTCTCACCAAGATTTTATATACAAAAGACAAGATTTGTGTTAAGGCTAGCACTCTTCAGTGATTAAGATGAGGAAGTAAAATGTATGAGGGATCAGTTTCTCATTAGAGATTTTTCCTGAATTAACTGTAGTTATCTGAATTTTTTTTTTTTTTTAACTCTCTGAACAGGTTGATATATCTACCAAGACAGTGGAGGGAGTTCTGCTTTCACATATAGAAAACTTGGCACATTGAGTGGGGGATCAGTGGATTGAGACACTTGCCACAGTTGCTTTTATTAAGTTGAAATTAACACATTTCTATTTGGATGGGTAGGAAGAGAAGGAGGAAGAAAACTAGGGAAAAGTAGCAACAGTGAGGAAGAGTATTTGATGCAGAACTTCCACCTCACCTCCCTTTCCCTTCCTCTCATCCCCCCTGCAGGCAGGAGAAAATAAAAATTAAAAGAAAAAAGGACCACTGTTTGCAACATTTCATGTCTCATAAGCAGGATTGCTAATACCTTCCCAGGGACCATTACAGCACACTACTGCGTTCCATTAATTGCTGAGCAGATGTTCAGCAGCCTTCTTTTAAAAATGTTTGAGCCAGAGTATGTTGCTAATGAGAGAGGCAATGCATAACTTCGTTTGTCTCCAAGGAAAAAGGACTGTCTCCTTTCAGGAATTTACTCGCCTTACTTTGTTTTTCAAATTCAGTTCCCTATTGCTTTTATGGGAACACAAGGTAAGCATTTCCAGATACCTGGATGTCATTAGAGACTGGATTTAGTTTGTTTCTCCCCCCACCACCGCCCAGGTTCTGTTTGGGAATTCATTAACTGGCATCTAAGCTGAGCTAAACTTTGAATGCAGTCTTTGTTTTGTTCTTAGTCATTCCTATGCTTCTTGGTTTCTGTGCAATCCTCTTGAGGACCTAACCACTTTTGACAGCTATATTTCTGAAATTCTCTTTGCAGAAAGGAGAGATTTGAAAGTGTATGAGAATAGAGAGAGAATGAGAAGCTGTTACCAAGAAGGCTGAGGGAGGGTCACGGCCTGAGTAGCTCTCTTTGACTTTTAGGACCTGATGGCAGCTGGCATCTATGTTTAGCAGACAAAGGCTATGATGTTGCAAAACAACCCAGAGAGTTGGAAAAGGGAGTAGAAATCAGTCTAGCTGAGATTGGACTGGAAACACTGGTGTTTTGACTGAAGTGTACTTTGCTCATGGTATTCCTGATTAGAACATTTTTCCCCTCTTTTCCACCTCTGTACGTCTCCTAAGTCTCTTTGTATTTCAAGGCTCAGCTCAATGCCAGCATTTGCATGGCGTCTTTCTAGAGACCTTTACCTGGATACACCTATTCCTTGTCTGAACTCACATGGAGTTGAGTCTTGAGGAGAGAGTTCATCATATCTTTATATTGTCTCCACCATTGTACCTAGCAGAGAACTTGCACATGTCAGGTGTT